AGTGCCCAGCCCAGCCCTAAACCACGACAGGAAGGCAGGGCCTCGCCTCCATCCCTCGCACCTGAGGAGCCTCTCGAACTCCAGCTGGTCCTGCATTGCCTGGATGGCCATGCCGTGCTCCCGTTCGGCGATCTGCTCCAGGCGGTACCGCTTCAGCATCTCGTTCTTCTCAGCCGCCTTCTGCGCCGCCTCCTTCTCCTTGCGCCGCCACTCGCGCTCCACGGCCTCTTGGTGGCGCTTGGCCTTGAGTGCATCCTGCCCGGGAGGGGACAACGGTGACTATGGGGGCTGGGGAGGTGTTGGTTGAGGCCAATTTTGGGCTCTCCAGTTCAAGAAGGGCAAAGGAGACTGGAGAGAGCCTCACCAAGATGATGGGGGGACTGGAGCCTCTCCCATAGGAGGGGAGGCTGAGAAAGCTGGGGCTGAGGGGGGCTTATTAATGCTTAGAAATATCTAAAGCAGGGTCAGGATGGGACCAGACTGTGCTGGGTTGTGCTGAGGACAAGGGACAATGGTCACAAACTGGGACATGGGACAGAAACATGAGGACAAACTTGTTGATGTGAGGGTGCAGAGCATGGCCCAGGCTGTGGAGTGGCTGTGGAGTCTCCTCTGGAGACACCCAAACTCCTGGCCGTGTTCCTGGGTGACTGTTCTGGTGACCCTGCTCTGGGGAATCTTCCCCCACCACATCCAGCAGAGCCTTGCTTGGGTGGTGACGAGGAAGGTGGCCTCTGAGCACCTCAAGCCGCTTACCTCCTCTGCCTTGATGTCCCTGGCCCTCTCCTGCATGGCTCTCAAGCGCACAAGCTCCTTCTCCTTCTCCTGACGGATCCTCTCCTGCTCGGCTTCGAACTTGGCCTCGCGCTCCTGCGTGGGACAGCGTGTGGTGGCAGCTTCCCACAGCCCCTCCGAGCCCGTCCCGGTGCCGTACCCCCCCATCCCGTTACCATTTTCTGCCGCTGGTACTCCAGCACTGCCTCGTCCGCCTTCCTCTCCCGCTCCCGCTGCTCCTCCTTGCGCTTCTGGTTCTCGTCGTTGATGCGTTTAATCTCGGCCTGAATTTTCTTCTGCTGCTCCTGTCTCTGCTTCAAGGCCTGAAACCGGAGCGAGGGCATCAGGGCATGAAGGGAACAGAGCCTGGAGCATCCACGCACCTTCCCGAGGGCCCAGCAGCATGGATCGCTTTGGAGGGTGCCTCAACTTCCCCAAGAGAGCGCAGCTTCAACCCTGCCAGCTGCTGTATCTGCACACCCGACTTCCCCAGCGCTTCCAATGAGGTGGAAATCAAACCCCAGCCCTCCCCGAATTCACTGCTCGCACCTTCTGGTCCTCCATCTTCAGCCTCTCCAGCTGCTGCAGCACCTCCTGCATCTCCTGCTCCCGCTGCACCTCCCTCAGCTCCTGCTCCTCCGCGTTCTGCTCCATCTGCTTCATGATCTCCTGTCTCCCTCTGGGAAGCAGAGCACAGAGGATCCCACCGGCTCCATCCCGCTCCCAAGAGCAGAAACACCGGCACGGTGTGACCATTGCCCAGCCCAGCCGCTGTGAATGTCACCCTGGGAAGGGGACGGATTTCACCACGGGGAATAGGGACCCTTTGGCAAACCTGATAATGTCCTGCTTCCTCCTGCGCTCCAGCTCCTCCTGCATCTCCTCGGCCTTTTTCCTCTCCACCTCCATCACCTTGGCCAGGCGCTTCTCTTCCTCCTCCAGCTCTTTGGCGATCAGCCGCTTCTCCAGGACCTGAGTGTCGCGGATCATCTGGCACTTGGCGTCCAGGATCAGCTGCAGGGACAACGGTGCTCCCTCATCTCCAGGCTCGGAGGCAGTGGGGACGGGGACACAGCCAAGGAAGGGGACAAAGGAAGGAGAGGAAGACCCCGGGTGGCAATAAGAAGCTCAGGGGGGCCTCAGCATCCTGGAGCGGGCAGATCACCACCCTCATGGTGCTGGGAGCCCCGTCCTTACCTTGCTGAACTCCTTGATCTCCTGTTCCTGCTCCAGGCGCATCCTGTTCGCCCGCTGCAGGTGCTGCGCCCGCTCCTGCGCCTTCTCCTTCTCCAGCTCGCTGACCTTCTCCGCCTGCTGCTGCATGGCCTTTTGCTCCGCCGCCTTCCTGCGCTCGTTCGCCGCCTCCTGCGGGGATGGGCAGGGATGCCGAAATGTGGATGGTGTTCAGCGCACCCCACCACGGCCTGGTACGCACGGTGGGCTCCTCCAGCCCCTTCCCACAGCCCTGGGAACAGCCCCCCGCTCCCTTTGTAGGGAGGAAGAAACGCAGCTTGGAGACTTCATCGCAGGCTCCGGGGTCACCGTGGGCTGTGGGAGCAACCAGTGTGGGATGGACCAGTGTGGGATAGACCAGTGTGGGGTCACTGGATGGACCAGTGTGAGATGGACCAGTGTGGGGTCACTGGATGGACCAGTGTGGGATGGACCAGTGTGGGGTCACTGGATGGACCAGTGAGGGATGGACCAGTGAGGGATGGACCAGAGTGGGGTCACTCGATGGATTAGTGCAGGATGGATCAGTGTGGGGTCCATGGATGGATCAGTGTAGAGTCGCTGGATGGACCAGTGTGGGATAGACCAGTGTGGGATGGACCAGTGTGGGGTCCCTGGATGGATCAGTGTGAGATGGACCAGTGTGGGGTGAAACAGTGCAGGGTCACTGGATGGACCAGTGTGGGATAGACCAGTGTGGGATGCACCAGTGTGGGATTGCTGGATGAACCAGTGTAGGATCACTGGATTAACCAGTGCAGGATGAACCAGTGTGGGATGAACTAATGTGGGACAAACCAGTGCGGGATGAACCAGTGTGGGCCTACTGGATGAACCAGTGCAGGACAGACCAGTGCGGGATCACTGGATGAACCAGTACGGGATGGACCAGTGCGGGATCACTGGATGCACTGGTGTGGGGCCACTACTACACTCACAGCCTGGGCAGAAGAGGGATGAAGATGAGGATGAGGATAAGGAACATGAGGATGAGGACGAGGACGAGGATGAAGATGAGGATGAGGATAAGGAACACGAGGATGAGGATGAGGATGAGGATAAGAAACATGAGGATGAGGAATATGATGATGAGGATGGCCACAGGCTCTGACCCCTGACCCCTGACCTCTTTAGGGTTCACCCCCTCCACCCACAGCCCCAGCACCCAGGGCCAGAGGGGGCAGAGGGGAGATGCCTACGACAAGGGCTTCCTTCTGCGCCTTCAGGGCCGCGTGCTCGGCCTCCTGCTGCTCCTTGGTCACCACTCGAGCCGCATCCTTGATGCGCTGGAAATCCTGTTGGCCGATGATGAGGAACGCAGCCGGGTTCTCCTTGGGGACACTGGGACACAGAGAGCGGGGTCAGCGGCACAGAGTCCCCAGCTGCCCCCTGCGTCCCCTCGGGGGCGGCAGGAGCAGCCCCCACATCAGGAGCAGCACCAGAAGCACCCGAGCTCTGTGGACCCAGCTCTCCCTGTCTGAAGGAGGAAACAGCGAAAGCAGCACCACGGGGACAGGATGCTCCTGGGAAAACCCCAAAATATTCAGCATGGGCCTCATCAGCCCCCTAAAAATGCTGAAAAGCTTTCACTCCAACTCGACTTTCCCAGCTCTCATTTGCGGCAAATTTGACCACTGTCCTGATGTGTTTTCCAACAGGAGATGCTGCTCACCCCTGCTGGATCCAAACTGGTTTGTACAGAGAGATTTTGGGGAGCAGGAGCTGCCTTTTGACCCCGAGATCTGCACGGCACAGCTCGGCTTGGGAAGAGGAGGAAACTCCTCGCTGCCCAAACTGGGAGCACCCTGTCCCCTGCGGCCGTCAGCCGGTGTCCGGCCGAGCCACCAACGCCACCCGTGACTCACGCTGTGGTTTAGAGGAAATCACCGAAGCTCTCGGTGCCCCCATTTCCCCACTTGTAAAAATGCGGATAATAACACGGGGCTGTTTTCCCGGGGACTTGTAAGGAGTTAATTACTCGCTGTATTACTCAGATACCATGGTGACGCGCGGCGGAGGAGCAGCGTACATTAACCAAATGCATGGAGCACTTTGAAGATGCTCCGGAGTAAGAATTTACTCATTATTATTGTGTGTCACCTTTCATCCACCCTGGTGAATAGGAACAGATACCTGCATAATGATCTCTCCAGAGCCGCATCACGGCATCGGATTCCAGGACGCTTTCAAGAATGGTTAATGGTCGCAACGGCACTAATAAATGTGATGACACATGAAAGGCCACTGCTTTTCAGTTGGGCTGAGCAGCCCGGGATGTCTAGGGCCTGATTTTCAGGAATTAAACCTGGGTTGCCATTAAACAGTTGCCATTCGCTCCGCCGCGGCTGCAAATTGGCGCTCGGCTTCGGGGTCAAATGAGAACGTGACCGTAAAAGAAAACAACCAAGCGCCAGCCTCCAAAGCCTGAACCGGCTCCTCTGCGCCATTGAGCTCTCCCAAAAACACCCAAACCCAACCCAAACCCAAGCCAACGGCGGGGCGGGCGCCACACTTTGCAGGTGCCGGGTTCCAAACAGGAAGTGCACAGCGAAGGGCAGCTCGGAGGAAAATTTAGGGAGGTCAAGACGAGGGTAAATTGGAGCCGGCCGGGATAATGGCTCTATTCTCATCTATGTGCTGCAGGCTTTTAACAAGGCGTAGTAATTAGGACCAGGGTTCTTACAGTGCAGCCTCGTGTATAAGAACATAAACACGGAGCTCGCGGTGCAGGGAGCTGCGGGTGATGCTCTCCCACCTTTCTCACACGGGGTTTTTGGATATTGGGGCACAGATTGGCCCCAGTTTGGTCCCAGTTTGGTACGTGTTGGGTCCTGAAAGAGCATTTTTGGCTGCTGAGGAGATTCTGACGCTGCTTTTCGTGCTGCCTCTGTGAAACACCCAGTGCCCAAATCGGGCGATTCGGAGCTGCCGCCCATCGCGGCAAACGGCGGCACAAGCTCCATGTCCCCCTTTTGTGCCACCCCATCCCCCCAGAAGCTCCCTGGTGGAGGCACCGACTCACACGACGTCCCGGATGAGGTTCTTGGTGATGAGGCGGATGGTCTCGGGCTTGCGCCTGGCGCCGGGCGCCACTTTCGGGGCCGTCTGCGCATGCCGGAGGATGACAATGGGGCTGGTGACGCGCGACAGCTGCAGGTTCTGCAAAAAAGGGGTTTTTGGAGTCACCTACAGCTTTCGTGCCACCAATGCTCTGTGACAAACGCCCTCTCGCACCACCAAAACCAGGAGGTTTTGGGAATGGGAAGGGGTTTTTGCCTCGGCAGCCCCAGCTCTGAGCGCCTGAAGAGATGGGGAGAACCAAAACAACCCCAAATTTCATTGATTTTACTGTAAAAATCTGGGTACCGGGGTCTCACCCTGAATTAAGCGATGAGGTGATGGCTGCTTGGTCAAGGCAAGGCCTCAGGAGCAGCTCAGCATCATTTTGGCTACCGTGGGCTGACGGCAGTGGCCCCTCACCCGCTCACCCATGGTCCCCCCCAGTCTGGGGAGAAACCAACCCAGAGTGATCCAAATTGGGGGTCCTGGGAAAGGGGACATGGGGACGGCTCAAGGTCTGGCCTTGGAGATGGCACTGGGCAGAAACCAGTCCTCCCAGTACAGCCTGGACTGGCGCCAGGCCCTTTGCTCGAGCCGAGACTGCCACCTAGTGAGGCGTCCCCGGGCTGCGGGGTGACCCGGGGACCCCTCTCCGTACCGAAACCTCTCTGATAGTTTGATTTTAGGGGTCTGCGATATTTCCATTTTAAGGCTCTGTGATTTTTTTTCCCATTTTTGGGGTCTGTGATATTGCCATTTTAGGAGTGCGATGACCCCAAACCGCAGCCCAGCACGGTCGGTACCGGAGCAGCGTCCCAGCCGCCACCGTTCCCAAGCTCGAGCTGTTGAATTAAAGGGTTTGGCACCGAAACGCCCGTGCAAACAAAGATAATAACGTTATTCCCTGCAGCCAGCTCACACGCCGTCCTCAGAGCCAGGAGAACTCCTAGGACCAGACCTGGATTAATCTCAGGGAAGTCAATTAACACCCGTTACGACACTTTTTATGTAACTAGCTGCCTTCAAGGCCTCCGAGATAACAGCCCATAAACCTGCCCAGGGCCCCTGGGCTCGCAGGGTGTCCCAGACTTATGGGCCCGGAGCACTCGAGATGATCTCCATCACTGCTTCTTTCCTCTCCTCGGTAAAGCCAAAGGGTTTTCGTGTGTCTTTTCGGGCAGGTTTTGTTTCAAGTGATGGCGAGCACCTGGACGTGGCGTGGTCCCCTCGCAGTGGTTGGCCACCAGTGATGTCCCCACTGTCTCATCCCGTGGTTTATCAGCCCAAAAGGTGGCGAGGGTGGGATAGGCTCAACCCCATCAGTGTCCAGCCTGGCTCTTGTCCCTCGCTCAACGCTTCCACAAAGGCTGGGGAGAGCCAATGTCTCCACCACGAACTGGGGAGAGCTGAGAAAGAGCTGGGGGAAGAAGCGCGGGGAAAAGGGCACCCAAAATTTGGCTGCCTCGCCTGCAAAACGCCATCGCCCCGAGCCGCGAGGGCCGAGGAAGCGAGGTTTTTCCCTTCCGAGACCGCAGAGGAAGGAGCTGTTGCTCTGTGTTTATCTCCTCCCGCGACAGCCGGGGCAGGCAGCCAGGAGGTTGGGACCTGCTGCAATCCTGCCTGGTCTCCAAGGGGACCCGTTTCGTTTTCCCTGATAAAAATCTAAACATTTTGATAATGAGCTGCTCCGGAAGCTTCCAGCCCTTGCTCCGAGGACTCTTTCTATTAATCCACATGAAACAACAGCCCTCCAACGTCCAGACCCCGTCCCGCCGGCTCCTTTACAGGGGTATCTCGCCACCTGAGCCTCCTTTGCCTCACTAATTAATGAAAATTAATTAATTAATGAAAAGTGGAAGCTTGCAGCGTCAAGGATGGAGCTCCTGCTCTGGTGGCTTTGGCACTCCTGGGAGCTGGCGAGGGGGGGAAATTTGGGTCCTCCCAGGAGGGATTGAAGCTGGGGGACAGCCCCGGGCAGGACCCCAGCACCGTGGTGCCCCGGGCAGGACGGCCTGGTTGGGAGGGCGGTGGTGGCCCCCCGGGATCCCGGCCCCCTTACCCTGCTCTCCCCAAACAGCGACTCAT